TACTAATATTTTAAAAAATAAAGCTGAAATTTAGACAAATGGTAAAACAAGCAGGAAAACGATTAACTTGTGATCTTGAAATTAATATATGGGTCTTTGTTGAAACAACATGCTGTGTTAAGCAGTAAGAATCTGAAAATGCCACAAAAAAGTAAATTTAGCTGACAAAAATGCTAAAAAACTAAAATTAGCTAGTTTAAAAAAAGGTATAAGAAACTGAACGAGTGTGTTTGAGAAATTAAGTTGAAAAAATAAAACCAAACCAAAACACGAATTTAGCTGAGCAGCTGAAAACGCAGGAAAAAAATAAACGCCAGAATGAAGCAAAAAAATCTTTTCTTCACAGAAGTAAAAAGAAAACCAACAAAGCTGATATTAGCAGAAGAATTTGGAAAAATAGCCAAAAATGCTGAAAACAGCTAAAATGAGCAACAACAAAAAAGCTGAAGGAAGCTGAAATTGGCACAAAGTTGGGGGGAAATCAGCAGAACAAAAAAAGGTGAAAAGAGGTACAGGGGTGCGTCTTCAGATAATTTCTTAAAAAAACATTTTCCCTCTGCAGGCTGCATCACAGAATCTCTTCACATGATGTTGGACAATGCTGTGACACTCAGGGATTCCCCCCATTTAATACAGGGGCTGGAATTCCTGATGACGTCACTGCAGACCAGTACCATCAAGTTTTCAATCAGCAGTTCTGTAAACAAAACTAGCTTGTTGCCAGGTGGTAAATCGCCAAATTTCAACAAATTAGACTGTTTTGAGACTTTAGATATGGCGAATTTAAATAAATAAGTTTTAAAAAATCTGTTCTTTGATGCAACTCATTTTTCCAGCACGGATCACAAAGACCTGCGTTCATAAAGCAAGATGCTACTGGAAGTATTTTGAGCCACAGATCTAATAATAAACCTGCACACCAAGCAGAATCCATACAGATCAGGTGAAGAAATGTTGATTTTTCTTCCATTTCTTGTTTGGACAAGTTGTAACATGGTTAGCATAGCATGGTAAGCATGCTAGCATCTCTTAAAACATCAACTGGACTTTGAGTAAACTGGAACCTCTGCAAGTTCAAGATGTTTAAAGTTCAACTTAAATTTACGTTTTCATTTTGAAGACAACCAGGACCCGATTAAGATCGTCCTAGGGCCACTTCTGGCCCTTGGCCCATAAGTTGGCCAATCRGATGCTTCTCAAACTCAAACAGATACTGGTGGTCACATAAAACTCAAGGTTTGATGTGGAGATGAACCCAAAGTGAACATTATGAGCAAAATGTGACATTTTTAAGAGAAAGAAGTCTGGAAACAATGTTTTTACCGCTTTACCCCCCCAGACTAAGTGAAACTTTGCTGAAAGGAGCTCAAGGCCTTTGGGCTCATCAGGCAGCAGACTGTGTGAAGCTGAACATCAGAGCTGATTTAGAACCAAGCTCTGTCCTGCAGGAGGATTCAGGCTCCAACAGGCCATTGTTTCACTGAACAAACACACTAAACCTTTAGGATGTGCTGCAAGCTGAAGGGGGGCTGCTGCAGTCTCACATTCCAACACTTCCTCTGCACACACACACCACACACACGTGCACACACACACACACACACACGTGCACACACACACACAAAGGCCCAGACCACCACACCCACCTTGCCGGGTGGAGACGTTCCTCTCGTTGCCCGCGGTGAGCACGACCTGCGGGTGGCTCTGCTCCAGCACGAACAGCTCGTCCTTGCCCACCCGGCCGCTCTTGCCGGACTTCATGGTGCCGGAGGGCCCGGAGGGGGCCAGGTACCTGCCGCTGCAGTCCCTGAAGGCCACCCTCCCGGAGCGGAACTCCAGCGTGTAGCCCGTGCTCCTGTCCGTGGTGGCGACCAGCGCGCCGTCGTTCCTCAGGAACCGGTTGTCGGAGGTCTGCAGGTGGTACCGCTGCTCGCGGAACACCAGCGTGATCATGGAGTCCACCCCCCACGGCACGTCCCGGTCGATGGCGATCTCGTCCACCTTGTCGCTCAGGTGCGCGTAGCGCTTGCGCGTCACGCTGAAGAGGTTCACCTGCGGGTGCATGGCGATGTGCACGCTCCACTTCTCCGCCACGGACGCGGTCTGCGCGAAGCAGATGATCCGGTCCTCGGTGCCGCCCAGGTACCGGCCGTGCGGCTCGGACTGCAGGGACCAGCGGCCGTCGTCGTGCGCCGTGATGACGAAGCGGCAGTCCGGCCCGGGGCTCTCGCTGTCCCCGGTCACGTTGCCGTCCTTGTCGGCGGCGATGTACCGGCCCAGGTGGGACTTGAGGAGGAAGACGTTGGAGCTGGACTCGTCCCCGGTCTGCTCCAAGGTCCAGATCTGCTTCTTCTTCATGCTGCTGGCGGACGCATTGATCTTGAAGCCGAACGTCTCGGCGGTCAGGTACTTGTTCCCGCAGTTGATGAGGCCGAACTGGATCTGCAGCATGTCGCTGGTTCCGTTAGACGCGCCGTTTGTCGTCATGGTCGGTTCTATGCGCGAGCGAGGCTCGGTTCGGTCGGGGAGGGATAGCTTCTGCAGGTCAGTGGGTCTCGCGGCTGAAGGGGGTGGGATGCTGCTGCTGCTGCTGCCTCGCGTGCTTCTCTTTGTTTGGAGACTGTGGAGTGTGTGAGCGCGCGCCGCCGGTCCTCAGTTCTCCGCTTGTCTCAGCAGCGCGAGCGCATCGCCACAGCTGCAGCCTATATAACAATCCGTGACGTAGCAGCGCTGACCACGCCCCCTGAAAGATCCAAAATCTGGGAGCTGAAAACTGATCTCACCTCTGACCTCCTCCAGCTTTATAGATCATTAAATTAAACACAGAGTAAATTTCCTGCTATTGTCATCTTTAATATAATGTATCGACTCTTTTAAATGAAACCAGAGAGCGTTGACAGAGAGGAGAAGGTAGAAATGACTCAGCCTGTAACTGAAAATA